GCTTAATATGTTTTCTGTAGCCACATTTAAAGCTTTTGTTTGAATGCGCATTACCTAGACACCTGAGATTTTCACCCATGTAGACGTATTCTTAGTAAAAACGATATCAGCAGTAATCGTAAAGGTTATCATTTCATTTTGTTTATGCTTTTATTTTGTGGCATTTTGATTATATCGTGTTCTATTACCTCATAACATTATTTGCCGAATGTTCATAAAATTAGCCTTAAACTTCGAGATCTTACCGTCTCCCGGAAGCATGCGACGCCGACAGATTTAGTACGTTATCCGCGGACACCCTGGTGAATTTTTAGGACTACCGAACATGCCAGCTGATGCCCGGCTGGTAGGACAAAATGAGGTGGCGGTATTCGTCCTACGGGTATTTTATCCTACCAACCGAACGTCACTTCGCATGTTCGCGTAGTCCTCTAAAATTCCTGTTTCAGGAATTTTGTCCTGGCTAACGTACTAAATCTGTCGTCGTTTCCTGGCTACCAAATCTTGTTTTGTTTTAAATTTGACAAGATTAACTCCTTGTAAAAAGTTTAAAATTATAATTTTTATGAACATTGACGAATAATGTTATGAATAATGTAATAGAACCTGATATAAAATAATCCGGAAATATTTACAAAACAAAGCATAAACAAATGAAAAGTGATAGCAACATCAGATTACCTTTTGATAATGTGTTTTTTATATAAGAATACGTCTACATGGGTTGAAATCTCAGGTGTGTATCTAGATAATATGTATTCAAACAAAAGCTGCAAAACGATTAACAATTTTAGAAAATATTAAGCTATCCACAAATTCCTGAAAATAAATTAGCTGTGATTTGCGGAAAAAATTTTAATTATTTCTTTTCCACATGATGTCCTTTCAGGTTCCAGGTGGCGTATGTTAGTTTTAATCTGCAAGATCGTAGCTTACAAAAAAATTACCTTCTGCAAACAGCACGGGTACGTATTAGGCATAATAAGTAATTATAAAATATGAGCAAAAATGAGATGGCTCAAAAAGAGTAGAAAATTTTAAGGTTAAGAAATCTGAAACTCAAAGGAAAACTGATTAAAAACTGATAATAAGTACCGTTAAACTGAAAAGCAAACTAAAAGTATTTTATTATAATCTATTCACTATAACATTGTGGTATTTATTTAAATGTATTTCTTTAAATTACAGCTACGCATAATACAAAAGACAATTTATCATCTTTTAAAACCATAAGGCATAAGGATATATGAGATAGGTGGTGTACCATGTGGTAGGTACAATATGATCGGAAAACGCACAGTGATGGCTGGTGAAATGAAGATCGGTGTCTTATATGTAAAATTATATAGGGAATGTCAAGGATCGTCATTTCAAGCCAACTGGACGCCAAGCTTCGATTATATGAGATATAAGCCAGCCTTCCTAGACCACAGACCTTTATATTATACTTAGCATGATATATCGCAAGCCTTAGGTTTGGTGTTTACGCTGCGTAGGTGTGAATCGCTATGGTGATCTGGTCGTGGAGATAGAAAAATATAAAATATTTACAAGTATAACACACTTAATCTGATGATTTCCTATGCATTCAATAATAAGTTCAATACATCTGATTGTGGATATTGGCCATACTCTTCATATACATGAAAATCGACAATCGCGGTATCGCCATAGCACATTTAAGAGGACTGATCCTATAAAGGCATTTTATTTTTGTTTTCTATTTATAACCTCGTTAACTCATTTATTTTGTAGATTTATTGAATATTAAGCCTTAGGATAAAAAACCTGCTTAGACAGAATACGGGTATTTTCTATCACTTTATTTAGAAGATCTTGGTTTGTGACAATGATATAAGATTACAGAAAATATCTGACGACAAATGTATAAAGTTTTCTGGTGGATACCCTTCGAACAATTTAGAATGATGCATGTAAACTACAGTAAAGTCTGAAATATTAAAGCATAAAGGTAAATAAATTATCCACATGTGTGCAGCAAAGTCGTAATATAATAAATTTATTGTTTTCAGAAACAAAAATTCACAACTTATTCTTGCCAAATACAAATAGTACACATCTTATTTTACTAAGCGTGTTGACTGTGATTTCATACGCACAAAAAATCGGCACCTGGGCGCCTGAAATGCCAACTCTAGTATACCTATTCTATGTAATAAATATTTTTTAAGTATATTTATTTTGTATTATCTCTAGATTAAAAAATATTTTTAATCAGTCTGAGAATCAATATGAATTTATTTTTAAAAAGAACGAGATACTCTTAAAAGCAAAAGATTTAAGTTAGTATGTCAAAATAATAAGTTAAGGTATTTTTAGAAACCTTGTATTTTAAATTGCAAAAGCTGGATAGAATTTCAAATATTTTCAAACTAAAAAATGTATCGATCTGAATTAATTTTTCAAATATAACCAGAAAAATATCTATCTTAAATTTGCAGTTGTGGTTGCAATACTCTGCATTAAAACATTTTATTTATTAAAATTACAAAATTACGGTATAAAGTTATAAAAGTATTCTTTATAAAAAAAGATCTCCAAATTGTCAAGAAAATAATAAAAGGGAAAATTCTGAAATTTATGGTGAAATTTCTTTTTCACTTTATTCCAATTATGTTAATGAGAGTGAAAGTAAAGACTATGGAGAGCTTATTCGTAGTAGCAACTAGTTAATTAGTTATTCTGTGTATAGCAAAGACTACCTGTAACGACCCCTAAAAGTAGTTAATAATAATTTAACATTAATAATTAGGTATTTCTTTTGCCTGAGTGCCTTGAGACAAAACCGGTAAAATAATAAGAACAAAAATATGTGAGCAAAGGAATTCATAAAAAACCGTATGTGTTGATTAAAACAAATTACATATAAATATATATAAATACCAAAAATCAAAAAAAAAAAACAGCTGGAAGAGCAGCAATTTTTTTCTTCACGCCAGTACTGTATGATCGAAAAAAAACGGCGTCCAGTTAGCTTGTTAATGATTATCGATGACATTCCCCATAATTTTAAATATAAAATGACAGCAATCATATTTCATAGCCGACCACTGTGACCATTGTGTAATATTCTTATTACTAATACTGCGTCTAATCATCACTTTTTTGACAATAATCTATAAAAAATAAAAAGGTAAACAATTTTTCATATTATAAAATAATTTATTTCCATTACAGGCCATAGGCACAAACTGTCATTTTATCTGAATAGGATATGCAATTTTTTCAAACGTCACAAATATTTTTTAAACAATTTCAAACTTTGTAAAATAATATAACAAGATTTAAAAGTAATACCTTTGTAATTATACCGTATGATCGAATAAAAAACGGCGTCAAGCGATGGCTATGAAATGACAATTTACGACATTTCCATATAAATTTACATATAAATGACAGCGATCTTCATTTCATAGCCATCGCTGAGGCCGTTTTTATTCGATCATACGGTACTTATATCGAGAAACTATGTTACAATTCTCAAGTTGAATTTGACACTTTATATCAGTTTAATAATATATTTTCGCAATTTTTGTGCTTATGCGTAAAAGTGCTTTTATTTTATGCCTATAGGCATTAAACATTTTATTTTTATCAATCACGTCGCCAAAATTAATACTTTAAGCTGCGTTTGAAAAAAATCATTTATTTGTAAGTTTTATAACATATCTAATTAAATTGGGCCGAAAGGGAGTCAGTTCTGAACACACATCCGTGGTTCTGAATCATCATTCTTAATTTATTTTAAAAAGAACATAAATACCTAAACAAAAAAATTAAAGTTAGTAGATGTGTCAAAATAATAAGTAAATTAGATATTTTTAGAAAAACCTGTATATTTATTTAATTGGAAAACTGATGAAATTTCATATCTTTCTCAAATTAGAAATTGTATCCTAATTATACTCTAATTGCTAAAAAACGAATATTACAAAAATTAAGTTATAAAGTGAGTTTAGTTATATTAAAGTTCACCATATTGTCAAGAAAAATTATTGCTTTTAAATTAAAAAAATTAGTAAAGTTAGGTTAAACCGGCGTTTAAACAATATAGATAATCAAAAAAGTTTTTTGGATAAAATTTGCTTTTTATGATGCTGCATCATTTCTATGAAAAATACCAGATAGAATACATTAGATTTTATTAAAGACGCTGATGGGTAATCAAAACATTGACTAATAAACCTTTGTCCATTTTAATATAAGAGGCGACATATTCCCTTTGGAATCTTGTGAAGGTGTAAGGGTGCACAAATTAATCCTTATTTTATAATAAAAACCATAAAAACATTTATTTGTGAGTTAAATAAACGCCTGCCCTCGCCTGTCATAGGCAACCAAAAAATACATATAAAAATTCAAATTTTAGATGAACTTAGTAATTATGTCAGTAAACTCTAATTGGCCTCTAGTTCATTATATTTAATGTACAAATATATTATTAAATTCTTAATCATAGATTAAATATTTTAATCTAAGCATTAAGTAATAAAACCATTTGTGCCCATTTATCATAAGAGGTCACGAAATATACTTGGTAGTACACAAAACAGCGGGGTGTAAATAAAAATGTATAATCATTGATTTTTTATAATATAAACTATAAACATTTATTTCTTATTTGTGAGAATAAAAACAAAAACAAATTTTAATAATATAAACTATTTTAGAATTAGGTATAGGCAACCAAACACACAAGAAAAATAATTTAGATAAAAACCTTGTAATTATTTATTAAATATGTCAATAAAGTCTTAATTAAGTCTCTAGTCTATTTTTTATTTTATATTTACATAATATAAATACCTTACACTCTTTCCGATACAGAAAATTTTGTTAATTGCTTCTTGAAATGCGACAACCTGACAACGCTGTTTTTAACGTTCGGGACGTTCGTGGACGACTCTACCCGAACAACTGGTAGGACAGGATGCCTGCCCTGGATAATAGCTGGACGAATACCGCCACCTCGAGAAAATGGGGTGGCGGTATTCGTCCTACGGGGTATTTGTCCTACCAACCGAACGTCACTTCGGGCATGTTCGGTAGTCCTAAAAATTCCTGTTTCAGGAATTTTGTCCTGGCTAACGTACTAAATCTGTCAACGTCGCATACTTTTCAATCTTGTTTTGTTTTGGAATTTGACAAGATTAACCTCAGAAAAAGTTTAAAATTATAATTTTTATGAACATTGACGAATAATGTTATGAATAATGTAATAGAACCTGATATAAAATAATCCGGAAATATTTACAAATAAAGCATAAACAAAATGAAAGTGATAGCAACACGATTACCTTTGATAATGTGTTTTTTATATAAGAATACGTCTACATGGGTTGAAATCTCAGGTGTGTATCTAGATAATATGTATTCAAACAAAAGCTGTAAAACGATTAACAATTTTTAGAAAATATTAAGCTATCCACAAATTCCTGAAAATAAATTAGCCGTGATTTGCGGAAAAAATGTTCTTAATTATTTTTCCCACATGATGTCCTTTCAGGTTCCAGGTATGTGATATTGTTTTAATTGCAAGATCGTAGCTTACAAAAATTCATTCTTCAGGAAACAGCACGGGCATGTATTAGGCATAATAAGTAATTATAAAAATATGAGCAAAAATGAGATGGTTTAAAAGAGTGAAAATTTTAAGGTTAAGAAATCTGAAACTCAAAGGAAAACTGATTAAAAACTGATAAATAAGTACCGTTAAACTGGAAAAGCAAACTAGTAAGTATTTTATTATGAATCTATTCAGTATAACATTGTGGTATTTTACGAAATGTATTTCTTTTAAATTACAGCTATACGCATAATACAAAAAACAATTTATCATCTTTAAAACCATAAGGCATAGCCATAGGATATATGATATATGAGATAGGTAGGTATGTACCATGTGGTAGGTACAATATGATCGAAAAAAAAACGGCGTCAGTGATGGCTATGAAATGAAGATCGGTGTCTTTTATATGTAAAATTATATAGGGAATGTCAAGGATCGTCATTTCCAAGCCAACTGGACGCCGTTTTTTCGATTATATGAGATATAAGTGTCAGCCTTGCTAGACCACAGACCTTTATATTATACTTTAGCACAAGGACATATCGGCAAGCCTTAGGTTGGTGTTTACGTGTGAAGGTGTGAATCGCTGTAGTGATCTGGTCGTAGATAGAAAAATATAAAATATTTATTACAGAACCACACTTAATCTGATGATTTCCTATGCATTCAATACCAAGTTCAATACATCTGATTGTAATAAGCATATTGGCCATACTCTTCATATACATGAAAATCGTATCAATCGTGTATCACATAGCACATTTAAGAGGACTGATCCTATAAAGGCATTTATTTTTGTTTTGTATTTATAACCTCGTTAACTCATTTATTTTGTAGATTTATTGAATAGGATAAAAAAACCTGCTTAGACAGAACATGGGTATTTTTGAATACTTTATTTAGAAGATCTTGTCAGGACAATGATATAAGATTACAGAAAAATATCTAACGTAGGACAAATGTATAAAGTCTTCAGGATACCCTTCGGGAACAATTTAGAATGATGCAGCGTAAACTACAGTAAAGTCTGAACATTAAAGCATAAAGGTAAATAAATTATCCATACATGTGTGCAGCAAAGTCGTAATATAATAAATTTATTGTTTTCAGAAACAAAATCCACAACTTATTCTGCCAAATACAAATAGTACACATCTTATTTTACTAAGCGTGTTGACCGTACTCTTCATACACACAAAAATCGGCACCCAAGGCCTGAAATGCCAACTCTAGTATACCTATTCTATGTAATAAATATTTTTTTAAGTATATTTATTTGTATTATTATCTTTCTAGATTAAAATATTTTTAATCAGTCTGAGAATCAATATGAATTTATTTTTAAAAAAGAACGAGTATACCTAAAAGCAAAAATGATTTAAGTTAGTATGTCAAAATAATAAGTTAAGGTATTTTTAGAAAACCTGTATTTTAAATTGCAAAAGCTGATAGAATTTCAAATATTTTTCAAACTAAAAAAATGTATCGATCTGAATTAATTTTTCAAATATAACCAGAAAAAAATATCTATCTTAAAGTTGCAGCTGTGGTTGCAATACTCTGTATTGCTAAAAAACATTTTATTTATTAAAATTACAAAATTACGGTATAAAGTTATAAAAAAGTACTTTATAAAAAAAGATCTCCAAATTGTCAAGAAAATAATAAAAAGGGAAAATTCTGAAATTTACAGAAATTTCTTTTTCACTTTATTCCAATTATGTTAATGAGAGTGAAAGTAAAGACTATGGAGAGCTTATTCGTAGTAAAGTAACTAGTTAATTAGTTATTCTGTGTATAGCAAAGACTACCTGTAACGACCCCTAAAAGTAGTTAATAATAATTTAACATTAATAATTAGGTATTTCTTGCCTGAGTGCCTTGAGACAAAACCGGTAAAATAATAAGAACAAAATATGTGAGCAAAGGAATTCATAAAAACCGTAATATGTAAAGTTGATTAAAACAAATTACATATAAATATATATAAATACTGTAAAATCAAAAAAAAAACAGCTGGAAGAGCAGCAATTTTTTTTCAATTGTATAGTACTGTATGATCGAAAAAAAACGGCGTCCAGTTAGCTTGTTAATGATTATCGATGACATTCCCCATATAATTTTAAATATAAAATGACAGCAATCATTATTTCATAGCCGACCACTGTGACCATTGTGTATTATTCTTATTACTAATACTGCACCCAATCACTTTTTTGACAATAATCTATAAAAAATAAAAAGGTAAACAATTTTTCATATTATAAAATATTTATTTCATTACAGGCCATATAGGCACAAAACCGTCATTTTTATCCGAATAGGACATGCTTATTTTTCAAACGTCACAAATATTTCTTTAAACAATTTCAAATTTTGCAAATAATATAACAAGATTTGGGTAATACCTTTTAGGGAATTCAATTATACCGTATGATTTCGAACAAAACGGCGTCAAGGGATGTCTAAGGAAATGACACCGATGACATTTCCCATATATAAATTTACATATAAAATGACAGCGATCTTCTTACCATAGCGCCATCGCTGAGGCCGTTTTTATTCGATCATACGGTGTGCCTCTATATCGAGAAACTATGGTTAAGGAATTCTGTTGAATTTGACACTTTATATCAGTTTAATAATATATTTTCGTACTTTTGTGCTTATGCATAAAAGTGCTTTATTTTTATGCCTAGGCATTAAAATTACTTTTATTTTATCAATCACGTCGCCAAAATTAATACTTTTGTTGCGTTTGAAAAAAAATCATTTATTTGTAAGTTTTATAACATATCTAATTAAATTGGGCCGAAAGGAATCCGTTCTGAACACACATCCGTGGTTCTGAATCATTCTTAATTTATTTTTATTATAATTAATGTTATAATAATTAATGTTAGTAGATATGTCAAAATAATAAGTAAATTAGATATTTTTAGAAAACCTGTATATTTATTTAATTGGAAAAACTCATGAAATTTCATATATCTTTCAAATTAGAAATTGTATCCTAATTAATTTTTACTCTATTGCTAAAAAAACGAATATTACAAAAATTAAGTTATATTTAGTTATATAAAAGTTCACCATATTGTCAAGAAAACAATTTATTGCTTTTAAATTAAAAAATTATGTGCAAGTTAGGTTAAACTACAAGTTAAACAATATAGATAATCAAAAATTTTTTGATAAAATTTGCTTTTTATGATGTCAGATCATTTCTATGAAAAATACACTAGATAGAATACATTAGATTTTTATTAAAGACGCTGATGGATAACTAAAACATTGACTAATAAACCTTGTCCATTTTAATATAAGAGGTCACGACATATTCCCCTTGGAATCTTTGTGAAGGTGTAAGGGGTGTATAATAAATTAATCCTTGTTTTATAATAAAAACCATAAAACATTTATTTGTGAGTTAAATAAACGCCTGCCCTCGCCTGTCATAGGCAACCAAAAATACATATAAAAAAATCTTGTAACTTTAGATGAACTTTAGTAATTATGTCAGTAAACTCTTAATTGGGCCTCTAGTCTATTATATTTAATGTACAAATATATTATTAAATTTTAATCATAGATTAAATATTTTAATCTAAGCATTAAGTAATAAAACTATTTGTGCCCATTTATCATAAGAGGTCACGAAATATACTCTTGGTAGTACACAAAACAGTGTAAGGGGTGTAAATAAAATGTATAATCATTGATTTTTTATAATATAAACTATAAAACATTTATTTCTTATTTGTGAGAATAAAAAAACAAAACAATGCATAATATAAACTATTTTAGAATTAGGTATAGGCAACCAAACACACAAGAAAAATAATTTAGATAAAACCTTGTAATTATTTATTAAATATGTCAATAAAGTCTTAATTAAGTCTCTAGTCTATTTTTATTTTATATTTACATATATAAATACCTTACACCTTTTTCCGATACAGAAAAATTTTGTTAATTGCTTCTTGAAAATGCGACAAACTGACAACGCTGTTTTAATGCTCGGGACGCGTTCGGGCGGACGACTCTACCCAAACAACTGGTAGACAGATACAGTGCCTTCTATTAAAGATTGGCGGGATTCTTTATTTATTTCATCAGCGTGGTGCCATTAAGTTAGAGATCTCCTGCTCATTTGTTGATTTGCTTTTAACTTGATTTTGGTACATTTATTGTAGTGCAAAAACTGGTTTTGCAGCTGAAGCGGCGGGTCCACTACCAGATATATCGGCTTTCCCGGTTTCGCATAAAAAATAGAAATTTTGTAAATTACATACAGTTGTGCAGTGATTTATCCCAGTGCCTGATACATTTTACATCGTATTTTTGTGTGCTTAAGACTTCATCACTCATCGTCAGTGCTTGCGAGTGTTATTGCGGCGTCTGCTTCCGCCAGCCTCCTGGTGGAGCGATAGTTGCCAGCACCAGGCAGCCCAGCAATCTGGAAGAGCAGTAAGTGCTGAAATCGTTATACCTTTATTGAAAATATCTTATCAAATTCTCACGATGCAGGTAACCGGACACCATGTTTATTTCCATTCACAGGTCTCCACTCCAGCTGCGCCGGCTCAGCCGTATAGACCAAACGTCGCAGCAGTTATGAACTGGGGAAAATTGAAGAATATGTATATCGGCGAAAGATTATTTGAGCTCAATTTAAAAAGATTTTAAAGACAGCTTAAAGAAGAATGCTTGTTTCGATATTATAATGTATGTTAAGCATAACATAGCTTGTTCAGTAATTTTAATGAATAGTATTGATTATTTAGTAATGTCAGCTAATATCAATACAATACGAATAAAGGTCATTGTGTTCTTGAAAGAGTTTGTTAATACAAAATTAAGTTTTAGTCAGCAGACATTGTAATACTAAGAAATTCATATCTTCTTTGTGCCGGTTCATTGCCATGTCGTCATCGAAGCCCAAAGTTGGCTTGAAGTCGAACATCGATGCTGACATTCTTGAAGAATTCTGCAATATAGTAACGCACTGACATTTATGAGTCTTTGAAAATTGTTTTGAATCCTGATTCTAATATTTGGCATTTTCTGGCTTAGGTTCGGGAAAACGCCGATTGATTTTCATTTGTTTTCATTATTTTATTTGGTTTAAAAACGGTCTGGCTAACATTATATCTCCATCAGTGTTGTGTCAAGGCGAAAATAGTGTCGAATATAATCCAAAATTGCATATAAAATATTCACCACGCCATAATGTTTACTGCGTACTCCATAGTCAATGTAGATAATTTTAGTGTTAAGAATAATAATTTTAAAAAATATGTGGTCATCTTTTGATAAGTTTATATTAGTTTATTAATTGCAGTAAATATTATGAGGTGCGAATTATATTGTATATGTAATTTTTTGGATTATATTCGACACTATTTTTCTCATATGACACAACACTGATGAAGGCTATAGTTAGCCGAACCGTTTTTTTAAACCAAATAAAAATAATGAAAACCCAAATGAAAACTTGAATCAGCGTTCCCGAACCTAAAAATCCCAAGAAAATCAAAAATTTTAGAATAATTTTACATATAAAATGCCAGCGATCTTCATTTCATAGCCATTGCTGACGCCTTT